TGGTGTAGGCTCCCGTAACGACAACGGCGGGTGGTTACTACACCTGTGTGAAGGTGCTCCTATCTTTCTCGCGAGCACAAACTTTCGACACAGCACACGCGGAAGAGAGTGGCTTCGCGCCCGCCAGTCATGGACGCAAATCGATCACATCGCGCTTAGTTACCGCTGGAGAGGTTGTGTCCAAAACTGTCACTCGATTTGGAGCACCAGCGTAGACTCCGATCACGCTCTTGTGTGTGCCGACCTGCGGGTGCGTTTCGGCGGACGTCCGCAACGTCGCTTTGAGCGCATTGTTACCAGCCATCTGGCGATGCCGGGTGTTCTGAATGCCTGTCAAACTACGGCCGGTGGCCGAGTGGTCGGCACGTTTGCTTTCCAACCATAAGGTCACCGGTTCGAATCCGCGTAGGGGTGGGCGTCCTCGCGGTATACTCAGCCTGCGCGCGACTGGTGGTGGTCGCGCGGCAGCGAAGCGCCGTTACGGCGTATAAGCTGACACACATATCAAACTACGCTGGCATCTGGGCTGAGCAAGCGTCCACTAAACACCGTTGAAGATCACTGGTCGCATATTCTTCAAACCTTACTACCAACACACATGTCTTCATATGGCAAATCAAATTGCCAACCTAATTGAATCTCTACAAATTCTCTGGAACTTATAGATGCTCGTCGACGTATTCCGGCTGAAAGCGAATACAATGAGACTCACAAAAATCTCAGGGCAAAATTGCGTGCTAGCCTGAACAGAGATCTCGAAGCCTTGTGGTCTCATCTTGCGTCGGAGATGGAAACAGTCCCTAACGCTGGTAATCATCGTAAGTTCTTCCGTCTGATATGGGAAACAGGCGGCAGAAGACCTAGTGTTAGCGAGACAATACGTGGCGAGAGTGGACAGCCGATCCACAACTTTTCAAAACACTTGGTGCGTTGGGCCGAACACTGCAAGGCAGTTTAACCAATCTGAGTTATCGCTTTCTTTTTCCTGCATGGAGTGCTCTTCTCCATGGGCCGTCTCGTTAGATCCGCTCTCACGCGCCGAAATTGAACATGGGATCAGACTGCTAAAATTGCGTAAGGCTGCTGGTGCAGATAGAATTCCCCCAGCTCTACCAATCCGGGGGACCTGCTCTTGTGGATGATTTACACAAGTTGCTTATGGAACTTTGGGAGCAGGAAACTGTCCCGACAGACTGGAACCGCCCCATCGTTGTCCCGTTTTACAAGGGAGGCTCCTGTTCGGAATGCGGCAACCATAGAGGGATCAGTTTGATCTCAATTGCCACTAAATTACTTACCTCTATCGTTCTCCCCAGACTGGCTGGCGCTCGTGAAGGCCAGATCCGCGAACACCAAGATGGGTTTCGTCCAAATCGAGGCTGCATCGACCACATCTTCACCTTGCGTCAATCGTTGGAGCACCGCCATGTTTATTGACGACCCACCATTGTCGTGTTTCTCGATATCAAAGGTGCCTTCGTCTCAGTCTATCGATGTGCCCTTTGCGACTGTCTGCTGAGAAAAGGTGTGCCCGATAAATATGTAAACATTATCAAAGCGCTGTACACGCATAGTGTGGGCAGAGTACGGGTTTTGGCAAATTGTCGTCGCCCTTCACTATCTCCAGCGGTGTAAAACAAGGTTGCCCGCTGTCACCTTTCCTCTTTAATTTCGCTATTGATGAAATCATGGAAACAGCCTTCGCTGGACACGACCTATAAGGTGCGGAGCTACTTTCTGGTGAGCAACTTCTTGACTTGGAGTATGCGGACGATATTGCCCTAATCTGTGATAGCTCCCAAACATGCCAAACAGCCCTGGACGGATTAGCACTGGCTGTCAATCGTTTCAACCTATGCTTTGCTCCATCGAAATGCAAAGTACTTTCCAAGATTCGTAAGGACACCCCCCTGTGCTGACCCTCGGGGGTGATCAGCTAGAAGTCGGTCAGGAATTCAAGCACATGGGCAGCTATATTAGCGCCCGTGGGATTGAAGATGAGGTTACGAACCGTATAGCAAAAGCTCGAGCTGCTTTTGCCAATCTCCACCACCTGTGGCGCAGACGCGACATTACTCTCGCCCTGAAGGGCAGAGTTTAGAACGCAGCCGTCCGTTCAACTCTCCTATGTGACTGTGAAACCTGGCCCATAAGGTCGACAGACATAAAGAGGCTCGTCACATTCGATCATCGCTGCCTTCGCAGCTTAGATCATGTCTGGTGGGAACACCGCGTGAGCAATGAGCGTGTTCGTTGTCGCGTATTTGGTGCAGGACGAGCGAGTGAACCGCTAAGCGCCATTATATCACGCACCAGGCTCCGATCGCTGGGCCACGTGTTGCGCATGCCAGCACACCGACTCCCGCGACGTGTATTGTTTGCGCACCGAGCGTGTGGTTGAATGAGGAGGAGGGTAGGCTAAACGATGACTTGGTCGAGAGAAATGCAAACCCTTACTTCGAAGTTGGCATCGGTTGGTCCATTCCGACTGTCTGTCTAGGGTCCTTAGGTCGATGGACACACTTGCTGATATGGCTAGGAACCGGCCCCATTGGCGTTTCTGTTGTACGTTCCTTTGTTCGTCCCCGTCCCGCCTGGCATCCACTTCCAATTATGATCTTATTCGTTAGGCGTAATACGACTCTCCTTTTGCTGCACAATAGCCGGCTATTACCTCTCCGGATCGATGTCTATCCGTTACTGGGGACTCATCCGTCGTGCCACTGTTATAGTCTTTTCTTGTCTTTAGTATTGCGGCACAATAGCTGAGGTGTTTTCCACCTGCAGCTAACGTGTATGATGCTGCTGATGATGATGACGATAATAATAATAATAATAATAATAATAATAAACAAGTGCTAAACCAGTCCTGGAATGCAGTGTTGCAATGAAATAAAACGTCACTTTCACCACTCACAAGTTACCTACAGTCGTTGGTAAACTTTGAGTCACACTATCAATCGTCAACAATTTCCTCCTTCATAAAGCACAACCTGCCATTCCGTTGGACCTCTGACTCAGATTGCTTTGTCACCTTCACACTACGTATATCCTCAAATGTACCTCGATGAATTCGAGAATAAAAATATTTGTTTATTTATTTAAATGAATTGAATGAAATCATTGGCTCACAGCTGTTAACTAACACGGCATCGACTGTGAACTAACATGTTTAATGCACTCATGATACAGCTGAACATTTCGTTTCAATATCCCCCTATACGTCACTCTTTTATTGCTGGTCTAATTCTCAATCCCTTAATCCATGGTTCACTTTGGACTCCTCGACGGGCAAAATCACTGTACTTTTGTGAAAGCTTGCGGCAGTTGGCCGGAACGGTTATTTGAACTTTCGGCTTTCATTATTATCCGAGTCTAGCGATGACGAGCCATACTCTGTGGAGTAATATATGTAATTTTTTGTATGGGTGGATTGTGGGAAATGAAGTCACTGACGACCAAACTCCATGCCGTCGGTCGGTCTCGCCTTCCACGCTAGGATCCACGTGATCCGCCTTTTACTTGGATCAGGGCTTTACACGACATGGCTCGCAGTCGGTACCAGTGACGCGTCTGCTACCGTCTTTTAATCGGACTATCTGTTTAAAGTGTGTTCGGTGTTGAATTATCTGCAAGCTAATGGCTGATTATGACGCGGGACAGTGAAAGCTGTCTCTCCGATGCCGCCTTATCTTTGCACAATAACCAGCTGTTTGTGACTACATGTTTACACAAATCGTTGTCTTCTTGACCTTGAAAGCCTGCTTAAGGTATTACGGTTTTATGCTGGGTACCCCTTCTCTCCCTCTTATTATTCTTCCTTTCCTAGTTCACCATGCTTGTACGGTAGCAAAGCATTAGTTCAAATAGCTGATGATGATGATGGTTGTAGTGATCACGCAGCTCAAACAGTTGATTCACAAATGTCCAGAAGTTGTCGTCGCAGTCGCAGTTTCCCATTCGCCTCATCCGCTTTTCCGAAATTTCACAAACGGACCGACATAAACCATATACGATTTCCACCGATCCATTAGTCAAATGCGGTATTTTGACGCTAACTTTAAACGTGCATTCATAGAACTTCGGATGAAGGCGCAATCATGAAACCGTTAGGGATACGTTCTCACTGTATTGCCCAGCAAGAGCGGACCTTCAGACTCTCCGAAATTGTACTACCTTTGCCATCTGTGGCCACGAGCAGAATATAACGCTGAGTAACGCAAGCTGCGTTCTGCAAGCAACTCTAAATATGGCTGTCAGTCCGTTTGTCCACTTTCGAAACGACTTGAGAACTGTGGTATTCGAGTTCCTTGTTGAAAAAGATACCACACAAACCAACTCTAACAAACTGTTACAAAAGCATTTTCCCATGAACATGCAGTAACATACGAGTTATCTCTTGACTTCTTTGAAAGCATAGGATGTAGCGCCTACTTAGGGTAGACGGAACATGCAAGCAGCGCTTTCGTTTTCCCATATTCTACTGTATTCGACCGCAGGCCCGTGGCTGAAAGGACGATTCGTCTGCCTTGCGATTCGAAGGTCGCGGGCTCGAGTCTGCGTAGGGGACCTGGCGATCCTCGCAATATCCTTGGCCCACGCGCGACTGGTGGGGGTTGCTCTGTAGCGAAGTGTCTTTACGGCGTACAGCTGCTGCCTTTTTTACTCGATTCGACCAACGCCTATCCATAAACTTGTTTGCTTTATACATGACAATTTCCCCCTGGTGTGACCATTATCGGCTGGTTAGTTTGAAATGACATGATGCGGTCCATTTGCGGTACTCACACGAAATGTCCGCAAACAGTGTGCGATATCACTGTCTTAAGGTTACTTGTGTATATTAACATTCAAGCTTAAGTATTTCCTGAGCGCATTTTTTATTTCAATCTAGTCTCGACTCTTACTTATCTTTCGTTATGGCTTTTACGATCCCCATTCTACTCTTCATATCATTTGCACTCGCCGTTCATTGTTTCTTTCTAATTCTTGTTACACAGAAAGTTCGCGAACTGTCGAGACGCCAGTTTATGCTCCGCGCAACAGTTCAGCAGTGTCGTGAAAAAGCCGGTCTGCCTGTGGCCTAATACTGAGGCTGGGCATGGGTGCATCACTCAGACGTTCAGTCAGTTCCTTCCCTTTTGCTCTTTCACGCTCTCCTTTTTGGATCAGCGATACTTTCAGACGGATGCGCAACTTTCACTTCCTGATATCCAGCCAAAACTCGCTTCTGCGCTTCCGATTAGCCCTGTAAATGTTTTTTTCTAACTTTTGTTACATTCAGAGTTACTTCACTTTGCTGTACTACGCAATCTGTTCGATTCCACGTCAAACCCATAGTGCTTTTACACGTCATTTGTATCCAGATCTATACATTAATCCCACCCACTCTGTGCATCATTACTCCTCACTTCACACGACAGCTGTTCGCCACTCTCAGAATTGCTATTCAACGCTCCCACACACACACTTGTACAATGCGTCCGCGTTGATTCCCTTCATTTAATGTTAGTCGCGCACTGATTCAGTGTGCGCACGAATATTTTGCATTGTCGTTTCTTCTCTGCCCTTTGGTCCGTCACTGTGGCGCGCACACCTTTCAGTTTGTTTTGGTTCTCTCTCCATTTCAAGTTGTTTCTTCGAGATTGTGATCAAACGGAATAATACATCGTCTTCTGGACTTTTCCTTCTCTGTGTTCTAACCCTCATGATTCTGCTTTTGAATCCGAGCTCAGACTCTATAGTGTCTACTCATTCGTGCACACTTAGTTGTCCAAAACCGGGCCTAGGTGAGAGCATTGCATACATCATGTCATTTGAGATCATCGCACGCACAGATTAGCCGGGTACTGACTCTTGCATCCGGTGCACGGGAGTAATCCGTTATTTACGCGTTACTGCTCATCATTTACAAGTAGTACTACCTTCATTGGCTCACTCATGACTGTTTTTATTACGACGACGAGTTCATCTCTCTATCACAGCCTGTTTGTTCTTAAAGTGGTCGTTGCTGTTTTATCTACCTGTTTACACCCGGCTTTTATCGTTGTTATGTTTGTGGCCGTTTGTCTTTCAGTGAAGCAAATCGATATCCGAGTCTAACAACGACGGTGAAATCACAAACCGTATAGCAAAAGCTCGAGGTGCTTTTGCTAACCTTCGCCACTTATGGCGGCGGCGCAACATCACTTTCGCCTTGAAGAGTAGAGTGTACAATGCAGCGGTGCGTTCGACCCTACTGTACGGTTGTTAAACCTGGCCCCTTAGATCAGCGAACATAAAGAGATTAGTTACGTTCGACCATCAGTGCCTTTGCAGTTTGGCTCACATCTGGTGGGAACAGCGCGTGAGCAACGAGCATGTTCGACGTCTTGTTTACGGCACAGTAAAAGCATATGAACCGCTCAGCACCTTTATTTTACGCACCAGGCTCCGATGGCTTGGCCACGTGTTACGCATGCCAGCCTACCGAATCCCGCGATGTGCGTTGTTGGTTCACCGGGGGTGTGGATGGAAGAAGAGGAGGGGTGGCCAAGCGTTGACTTGGTCGTAAGAAATGAAGGCCCTCACTTCGGAGCTGGCCTCAGTTGGAGCTTCACGGCTCCCTGGTTGGGGTCCAAAAGACGGTGAACACGTTTGGCTGGATACACTTGCTGACATGGCAAGGAGCCGACCTCAGTGGCGTTCGTGATGTGAGTTTCTTTGTTCCACCCCATCCTACTTAACCTCCCCTTCCAACCTCGATCTCACTGTTTAGCGTTTTTGCATCGTAATTTTTTTACTGCATGGTAGCCGGTTGGTAGCTTACCGGAACGATGCCCATCCGTTACCGATAACTCGGCTGGCTTGCACCTGTTGCATTTTCTCTTCTATGTACTGCAGTACAGTAGCTGAAGTGTTTCCCACCTCTAGCTAACTTGTATAATGATGATGATGATGACTTCATTTTGTATGTGTGGGGCAGCTCAGTTTGAACCGCCTGCCGTGTATATGGATGGTGACGCTCGAACTTCATCTGGAACTCAATCAACACTGAATTGTAACGATATCATTTCGGCACTCCGACCGTAACTGAAGGAAATGAATATTGGGTGTTGTCCGTCTGAAAATACTGCACTACATGATCCGTTTCAGACTCATTTTTATCTCCTCAGACGTAGATAACAGGCATTGACCCCGATACTACTCGGATGTTAGTTGTGGCCGCTACCTCTATGTCACTACGGACAACTTTCGGCACAACAGTTAATGACGGATGGGAGGGTCATTTGGAATGTACTGGTTATGTGCATTGGTTGCGATGTGCAGTCTACATGTGGACTGCGGTTCGCATTGAAAGGAACGGTGGTTAATTCGATCTCTGGAACCGTAGCTGCTGAATATCAGGTGTTGCCCACCCGAAAACACTGCACTCCATGACCCGTTTCGCACTTGATTGCACTTGTTACTTAACAACGACAGCGCTACGGGTCGAATCCTGGGAGTAGAATCTACTGCCTCAAGATTTTGCTCCCACGTCACTGTGTGATGGTGGCTGAAGCCGGGGACGAATGCGGTACCGATGGAATGGGGACCAATTAGCGAAAGCCGAGCACGCACGATTGGTCCGGCCTAGCGCAAAGGAAGGGCAGTACGCCTTCGGAAAGGCGGATTGATCGGTCGTACGGCGAGTAGATGACACGTTGGAATCCATGTTGGCAGTACGCTCAGCTATGGCAGCTGGTTAACCAAGGAACCGTCAGCCGAATAAACTAAGCGTCTAATTAGACGCTACTCGGAACGCACTCGGCCCAGCGCAATGAAGAAATAGTACGCCTTTGGAAAGCAGAAAGACGGACTAGTCGGTCGTATGGCGAGTGCATGGCGAATTCCTGAGTCCGTACTAGCAGCACACGCAGTTATGGCAAATAGCTAATCATGGGATAATCGTCTAAACGGGCGGACGGACAAATACACGCCAGCATGCAGTCTGTCCGTGATGACAACAGCGAGGCCCAATGTAACCATAAACTCGGCAAGTGTGGATCAGTACGTATGGAGAACAAGCACAGACCAATGCGGTACAGTTGACGTTACAAACTAAGGCCAGCTAGTGAACGGAACACATCAAAATACTGTATTTACTTTATTCATAACCATTGCTCTTAATAATAGTGATTTGTGGTCACCGCCCAGACTTTTCTTGATTCTCGGAGATTAACACGACATATTAAGTCGCAAATAACGCTTTTCACAACGATTATTAACCCATTGCGTATTCATTTTGAGGCACTTTTCTTGTGAATGGATTTCGACATACAAACTCAATTTGGATCGCAACGGACGTTGCAGTGAATTTCTGTCTTGGAATGCAATGTTGTGATTGAGTAGCGTCTAGCACCTTGTACTGTTCGGACAACTATGTGGGGGCGACATTTGTCACAACGAAACGTTATCTGTTCCCTGTCGTAGTCTTTTGAAACTCTGATCACGCAGATGCTATCCACAGCTTGTTCTTTGCTGTTGCATACACCTGCAGTAAATGCGTATTTTTGACTATATGGCTTCGCCTCGCAAGCGGTGTGTCAATCGGAATCATTCATCCGTTACCCTCTGAGCTGTTGCCGCCTATCTCTTGTTTTATTTTGATCAAGTCGCTTCACAACCTTTTATTGCATTCATAATTATGTCACCTTGGTCATTTATCTGAGTGCCTGTCCACCTCTCACGCTTTTTGTCCACCTTTCTGTCGCGTGCAGCTTCTTGTTCTCGAGGTTCTTTCGTCACCGCTTTCACGTTCTTCCAGCCTCCAAGTCAACTTTTTTCAGCTTTGCACCAGCCATCGTCTAGCGAAATTGTAGCCCCTTCAACGATTCGCCTGTGTTCCTCCATCATTTTAGTGGAAAAGCACTTGGAAAGGGTAAATTAAGGCCAGTGGCGAGGTGGTTTAATTTTTTGGTTATCTGAGGGACGTGGAATTGTGTTCGATGATGTGCCCCGATATATCACAGTCAGTTGCCTACTTAGCCCATTTTAAGCCCATGACGATGAGGATCGCATGTCCGTATCCTGTGCGATTAGAGCGGAATTCTTGTTCGTGCGTCTCTGTAGGACGAAGCGTTTGTTTTGGGCTCTTTCAGACGCAGAGTGACCATTTGCTTATGTTTAGCTGTTATTAATCTTTTTAGGCAATCTATTGACTTCATGGCACGCTTATATGCTGCTTACACATACAGTCGGCAGTCGCACGGAAACTGAACCTTAGCGTGATGCGGTGGTTTAAGTACCTCGGCGATTCATGAGTCTACACTGCGTGGCAAGCGCCATACTTCTTTAGGTCTACTCGTATCAAATTGGTCAGCAGTTAGTAGTCCATTGCAACGTGACAGCGTCATCGCAGTGCAATGGTCTGTGTGCCTCAACGATCCATTGATCCATGTTGGATGGTGCTTTTTGCACTTTCAGAGACACTAACATCAGGTTGATCAGTGGTTACAGCCTAGACAAACTCAGTCTCCTTGCTCTCCAAGTTGGGGGCTGGAGTGAGTGTGGCCCCTTATTCCTTTACATAAACTGAACCCAGCGCCAAAATCTCGCTACCTTGCGGTCCGGCTTTTGACTCAAAGCCTTTGGTTGAGAACCCTAATCGTTCTTTTGTCTAGATCTAGGCAACCTGACAGTTTTCTGCCCACGCCCTCTTCAAGCAATTTATTGGTGCTCTGGCCGTCGCAGAGGATGAAAAACGGCGCCCTATCTGTTGCACCGAGGCTGGATAGGAATTAAGATGCCACTGATCAGGCTTCCCTATCTTCTTATTTCCCCTCTCGCGCTTTTCATCCTTATCGTCCCTCTCCAACTTCAGTTTTGACCCCCTGTTTTCAATCCTTCCATTCTTTGCCCTCCCCATCTCGCTTCGATTGTCATTTGTCTTCTAGTCACGACTCACACAGTTGCAGGGCGTCGCTCTGGTCCAGTTGACAAGTCCATGTTTAACCAAGCGGACAATGTCAGTTCATCCGTTTCTACCTGGAACCCTCGCTCCTCCCTAAGACTGACATGCTTCGGCATGTACACCTTGTTACAGGCTGCATAACAGGCGGCA